ATATATATATATATATATAATATATACATGGTGGACCATTTTAATTCATCCAGTCGAATATCTTGAAAATCAAGCCCGGGAGAGAAAAATTTTTCAGACATTAGTTGTTTGGTTTCAAAGGGACCATAAGATGGTACCATTGGTTTGACCTTGAAGAATTATTTGTCACATGAAAGTCACATGAAAGTCACTTCAATTTTTTTAAATGGCATTCTCTATTGTTTATTACATGTTTTTGTAGCTGACCTCGAGAGCTTTCCAAAACACTATAATCAAATCTTTCTTCATTGAATACTTTTCGAGTTATAAAGCTCCAAAATTGCAATTTGAAAAAATTCAAAATGTATCTTGTAAAGTATTCACTTTCCGTCTTATCTTACACGATTCAACTAGTCAAGGCAAGAATTGGACATGATCCAACCGGTCAAGGCAAGATCTGGACATGATTCAAACGGTCAAGGCAAGATCCGAATATGATCCAGCCAGTAAAGGCAAGATCTGGACATGATTCAGCCAGTCAAGGCAAGATCTGGACATGATCCAACCGGTCAAGGCAAGATCTGGACATGATCCAACCAGTAAAGGTAAGATCTGGACATGATCCAGCCAGTAAAGGCAAGATCTGGACATGATCCAGCCAGTAAAGGCAAGATCTGGACATGATCCAGCCAGTAAAGGCAAGATCTGGACATGATCCAGCCAGTAAAGGCAAGATCTGGACATGATTCAACCAGTCAAGGCAAGATCTGGACATGATCCAACCAGTGAAGGTAAGATCTGGACATGATCCAACCGGTTAAGGTAAGATCTAGATATGATCCAACCAGTCAAAGCAAGATCTTTATCAAAGGAATTGTTCAAAATTATCTCCATTAGCTTGAATACATAATTCCAATCTATTTTCGAAGTGCATGACCGTTTTGAGTAAGACAGCTCGCGATATATTTGCGCAAGCTACTCTTATTCTCTCTATCATATCTTCTCTAGTTGTAGGCGCATGCTCATAAACCACATTTTTAATATACCCCCATAAATAAAAATCAAGTGAAGTCAGATCAGGTTGAAACCGACAGCAGAGCCTGAGCCGGTTTCGGCTGATGTCGGCAGCCGCCGTCAAGCTTCGTCGTCCGTTGCGGAACAAGCACTACAAATAGTAAAAGATGGATGGAAGCGCGGGAGAATCTACGGCGCGAAAAAGCAAATATACCGGATGTCGCAGCTGA